CCAGCCGCCACCGCCGTCAGCGCGCCGGCGCCGACGCCACCGCGGCGGTGAGCAGGGAGGCGGCGCGGCGCAGCGCAGCCCGCTAGGGCACTGTGGGGTCCCGAAGAAGTTTGTTGGCGCGGAACCAAGCGCGCCGCGGCCGCCGGGCACGCTAGCTCATTCTGAGCAGGCGGGCGTGTAAGCGAGACCTGCCCCGTGTAGGGTGAGGGAGGGAGACAGCAGGCGAGTCGGGGTGGGCAGGCCAGGTTGCAGGAGCCCCAGAGGCACAGAGAGGTTGGGAAATGGAGAGAAACAGGGTATCAGAACTCATTGCCGGCCTCAGGGCACAGTGGGCTGGGGATCCAAAAGAGGGGAACCCAGAACCCTGAAAATGCGGACAGTTTTAATTGAACCATCCAGGAATTGCAGCAGCGAGTGATCATGAGCCCCGGCTTGAGGCTGGGGAGTGCAAGGGTAAAGGAAACACTTGTGCTGCCTCCTTCCATTCACAATTCCAAGAGGGCTTGGTCCCATCTTCTGCTTGGAGGAGAAGTCTGAGGAGAAACAAGAAGGGGGGGGGGGCGGTGGGGTGCGGTTCGGGACGCTCAAGAGGAATTTATATCTGCTTGATAATGGAGAGGATGAAATAAAACCACTCCAACATCTTTCCCTACCCCCACCCCCAACAAAAAGTGAAAGAGCAATGGCACTGATTATTCTCAGTCCAAACCAAGCAGTACTGTCATTTTTAAAGAGATAAAACAAAACAAAACAAAACAAACCCCTCAAATGTGTGGCTTCCAGCATCTCCTTGCTGGTGCGTGAGGAGAGAGCTGTAGGACTCTAAGTAGAGATTTTTGGATATGTGCCTGCAAAGGAGGAATTGAGATGTTTAGATGTTCAGATGGTGCAAAATGTACCTAAAATTTCCTGAGGAGGGTTGACAGGGTTCTTTGAGTGGGAATATCTCTTCAGGTTGGAAAAGAGGAAGGGGATCCCGGGGTACAACAATTTATTCTCTCCCTAGGGGATAGAAAATGGAGGAAGTTACTGGCACATGCTTCCATGAGGTTCTGTCCAGTCTGATCCCTCAAACTGGCTAGGCACCTAAGTGGGGTTTCCTGGGAAAGAGGGAGAAGATGTAGTGATAGAGCAGGGGAGTGAGCCTGAACCTGATGTGAAAAGGTCAGGGAAAAACTGAAAAGGTGAAAGAAAACCAAATGTGATTATTATCACAGTTAGGACATTATCTCTGTATCCGAATCATTGTCATCCAAGGAAACCATCTAAAACAGATAGAAGCCCATTGTATTCTCCAGAAACAGAAAATTTCCATCTACTTTATGGTCCTTCTGTTTAATCTCTCCTGTTGAAATTGTAGTTCGTTTTTTCCCCAGCAGGCAATAATGCCCAGTGGGTACACAGAGTGGATGGTTTTAGAGGCAAGAGAACATATGGAAATAGAAACCATAGTTGTACATGGATGTGGATGGAGATGGAGGGTATTACACTGAGTGACGTAAGTCAATCAAAGAAAGACAATTATATGGTTTCACTCATTTGTGGAATATAAGAAACAGCGTAGAGGATCATAGGGGAAGGGAGGGAAAATTGAATGGGAAGTCATCAGAGAGGGAGAAAAACCATGAGAGACTCTTAACTGTAGGAAACAAACTGAGGGTTGCTGGAGGGGAGATGGGTGGGGGGATGGGGTAACTGGGTGAGGGGTATTAAGGAGGGCACGTGATGTAATGAGCACTGGGTGTTATATGCAACTGATGAATTATTGAATTCTACATCTATAACTAATGATTTACTATATGTTGGCTGATTGAATTTAAATAAAAACAAAACAAAAACAATTGACATCATAAATACAAATTCAAGTGAAAATGAAAAATTAGCAGGAATACAAATTAGCAGGGCTAGAGAGATGCTAATATATAACCTGGAAAGGATGCTGAAAAAAAATAGAATGAATGGGATTGGAGTTGGATTATTCGAGGCACGCTGCATTAAGGTCATGTATCTTAAAGAGGCAGAGAATAAAGAGGCTTAGCAGAAGAGAGCAAGAGAGAGGGCATTCCATCCAGAAGGAATGGCATGTGTGCAGGCTTAGAGGTGGGAGTGAGCAGTCATGTGCTTGGTAAGACAGAGAATCCTAGCTGGGATGAAATCGGAGATGAGGAGAGCAGATAGCACTTGCCAAGGAGAGATCCGAAAGGAGAAACTGAGAGGCAAGGGGCTTTTTACGGTGTTATTTTGTAGGTCTTTAGTGAGATAATCAGGTGAGGAAGTTCCATATTGAGTTTGGAAATTGATAGGTGGCAAATGTGAGAGTGGGAATAATAGGCCTGACCCATGATATTCCATGATATTTGTGAAGCCCACAGGGTCTTGTTACCTCTCTTTGAGAGAGATCAAAAATAATCATGAGATTGTAAGATTATTAGATCATAAAGTTAGTAGAGCCCTTCAAGTAGGAAAATTAGGAAAACTTGATACATAAGGAAAATATATACGTCTGTTAATTTAAAATTTTAAGTGGCATTGGATCACTGATACAGATATATCTGTGAAAATGAAGCTAGAGAATGGAAATCTGAAAAAATGTAGGTCATTCATAATGATGGAAGTTGAGAATGGTACCAAAAAAAGTTGATGGAGACGATAGGTCAGAGAAGTGAATCAATAAAACAAGTTGTCGAGGGTGAAGAGAATCAGTTAAGCACGTTCAAAGGGAACCTGAGGTTGGAGACCCTCTGGGAAGTAGGCACTAGTTTTGAAGTGTCAGGAGAAATAACATAGAAGTTTGGGAAAATGTGATAGAATTGATCAGTTTTAGAGGTTTATAAACATTGAGAACCAGGGGATATATTTTCTGTGATGGAAGAAAAATTCAGTAGTATTATCTTTTGTGCATCTCATTAAATAACTGAAATTATGTTCACTGAGCCTTCTTTTAGTAATAATTCTCCACCTGTATCGTCTGTAAATGTTAAGTCCATATCTGGATATATTACTTAACAGTTTGAACCTCCATTTGTTTAATTTTGGAAATGTGTTGTCTTAGACTATATTCATCCTACAAATTGATCAAGTAGGCACCTACTAAATGCCGTGTTTAAACATTATTTAATGTTTGAACAAAACACAAATGATAAAATACTTTTTTTTCTACAAGATGTTCAGTATAGAGAAGAGACAGAATGCACACAGGTTATTAAAATGCTGTGTAGACTGGGCTGAAGCAGAGGTGGGTACTGAGCTCCATTGGATTGCAAGGCAGTGAGTAAATGAACTCTGTGATGGCTCTTGCAGACTTCATAGAGGACATGGCATTTGAACTGCATGTAGAAGGCAGAGTAAATGATCACCAGTTGGAAAGAGAATTGGAAGGACATCCCAACAGCCCAAACCGCATGTGCGAAGCATGGCACATTTGGGGAATTGTGAAGAGTTTGATGGTGTAAAGTTTGTTTGGAAGGAGGTAGCAGGCCACGAGACTGGTCAGATGAGTTGAGGACCCCACTGTGAAAGAGCCTTGAGAGCTTCCCTTAGAAATGGCCAATGAAAAACCACCAGGAGATATTAATAAAGCAGAACACTAACTTGATTAGATCGCTGCTATAGAATTCTAGAACAGTAGGGAGATAGAATCAAGGGGAACCAGACTGAAGGAAAGGAATGTAGTTAGGAGTCTGCTGCACTTTTACAGATTAGAAATGGTAAGGAGGTAAGTTAGTTTTTGTAAGGATGAAGAAGTTGGTATGGATTCAAAGGAAATTTTTAAAGGTAGATTTGATAGACTTGATAGAGGTTTGATATAGGAGGGGTAAAGAATGAGTTGAAGAGGATTTTGAAATTTCTAACTTAGGTTCTTAAGTTAAATACGATGCCTGTAATTAAAATATAAAGGTCAAGGGCTTTCTGTAGATTATAATGAGGGCAGAACCCTTGCCGAAGCTGCAACAGACTTCTGCAAACTATCTTCAATTTCATTGCTGTAGTCAATGATAAAATTATGAAATAATGCTAGATCTAGTCCTGAGCTCTTGGGAATTTTTGTCCTATTATTGGCTTGGAATTTAGCTCTATAGGCATGGCTTTTCAGCTGGTTTTCTCCAATAGTTTATAG